CCCCCCCCCCCCCCCCACTCACCTTGTAGTTTTCAGTGACGAGGATAGCGCTCATGGACGCAATGTCGAACCCAAAGAGGATGCCGCCAATCTAAGACGGAGCATGCGACGATCAGCGAGGATTCTCACGCTCGTCGCTCGCCGTACTCACGCAAGCAAAGGCGGCGATTGCGTAAGGGCTGCGGATCTTTGGTGTCATGATGGGCGGTGCGAGCTGTAGAGATTGGAAGAAGAGACTTGACCGGAGTGGGATCCCGCGCGAGCTGACCACCCCGACGTGCTCTTTAAGGCTTTTGTGAGCCCGTGCCGTGCGCGTCGTTGATCCTCCCTTCTCCGCGCGCTGCTGGCCCGCTTGCAGATGGGGAAGCACACTGTTAAAGTGCAGATCTCCGCCCCGCCCCGCCACACCCGTTGCTATCTGTATCTTGATCGTTGACTGCGTTGGTGCGTGATGCGATGCGCCCGCTTAGCAGCACAGCATGCACCGCTCGTCGCTGCATGGCCTCCTCTTCTGCATGCCGAGCAACTCGCGACTGTCTCTTTGCTGGCATGGCCTCATGCAGCTGATGCAGGCAAACGCCTTATTTCATCCATCCCGCAGCCAGTGCAGCGCGAGGTTGACTTTGCTCGACCGCACGGTGAAAGTTTTGGGCGCTCCTCAATTAAAGCAGGGGCGGGTGCACGAAGCGGCAATCTCCACGAGGTCAGGAAGGATGTGTGCCTCCTCTTTCTGCATTCGTGATTGTGTCGCAATGCGCAGCAGATAGGTTCCGTTCGCGAGCCAGCTACTCGTGACTGTTGTGTGTCAGTCAGCTCGCCTCGCAAAATAAGGGGCGACCCGCTGCCATGACTATTGCTCGGCAGGGTTCACTAATGTGGGGCAGGCGAGTTGACAGCACGGACCTGTTCAGCTTTCCCTGATGGGAGTAGTGACGCGCACAACGCGACGTACGCGACGACAAGGGCAAAGCGCTTGCTCTTGCTAGTCGGCGCAACCGCCGAACCTATTCGGCAAGAGTTTGTCAAACGTGCCTGCTGATTGTGCTGTTCTGGCCGCGGCGAGGGGTGTGCGCTAGGAACACCCTAGCGCGGATCCGCTAGCATTATAGCTGCACTTGCGCCTTTTGACCTCCTCGCGGCTGCAGCAGCTCTCGTGTCGTGTCCAAGGTGTTTCGCTATTTTGCGCACTGATGCCACACGCACTGTCGCAGCTAGCAGCTAGGAACTGCATGAAGAAATCCAAGTCACATTCGAGAAAGAGCAGTACAGTACCCATGCAACCAGCGCTTGAACGAGACGGAAGGTTCGGACCGAGTGTGACTTGCCGGTCATCCGCGCGATGTTGATTGCAATCGCCGAGTCACGAGTGTGGCATCCTGTGCGCTGCTCTGGATGCGGGCAAGAGCACCGGCGCGCGGCGGCAAGAACTCGTCGTATTTTCCTTATTGTTACCCCACATTGAGAAGCCGCTGGAGCCCGCCCCTTGCGGTCGGCGACGCGCTGCGAAATTATAGCTCTCGCTGCGCGGGTCATCAGGGTTAGGGTTAGGGTTAGGACCTTTCATGCCTTCTCGACCGCGCGATGCCCTCTTCTCCCAGCACGAGGCGAGGCGCGTTCCAGAGGCGGGCATCGCGTAAAAGTTTGCAAACGCCATTCGCGCTGCCGCCGTCGTGTCATGCATTCAGCATCCCCCGCACATTGAGCTTCTACGCGTGGTGGTAGTCTCACTCGCGACTGCCATGATATGATGAGTGAGTGATCACGCCGGCGCACCACAAGTAGTCGTGTCATCGAGCACAGTCACGCGCGTATGCATGGGTACCGGCCGGCCGGCCTTTGCGCCGATCCAGCCGCGGGACGCACGGAATGTGTGGCATTCGCATCAGCTGCCGTTCGCTCCCACCTCGAGCATCGCTACAGGGACAGTCGCGCGAGTTGCTCCTCGCCAAGAGCGTCACTCGGCAAGCCTGCTGTGAACACCGCAACGGGCGATACATTGACGCCAAGTTGGTTCTACTTGACGAGGTGGCCCGTGCCGCCAAACAGGCTCTTTTTCCTGCTCGTCGATGGACGCGCAGGAGTCAGCATAGACGTTGGCAAGCACGGTCGGCCTAGACTCACACAAAGGCGTCGCTCAGGAGCATCTCGGCATCCCTGTCGCTCCAATCACCCGTAGGCAAGCTTTGGAGGAACATGATGATGCCTTGGAAATCCATCTTGAGCAGCTCCGAGCTCCACTTGCTCAAAAAGACGCTGCACACGTAGAGATGGAATTCGGAGAATGCGTCCGGCCCTTCCGCCTATGGAAGCAAGAGGGAGGTGGTGGAGCAAGAGCGAGGTGGTCAGTCAAAAGAGTGCTGAGAAGCGTGTCATTCGCCCCCACTCACCAGATACGTGTCCCACATTCGGACAATGTTCCGAACGCTCATCTCTCGCATCAACAAGCAATTCATCCATCTAAACGCAAACTGCATGTACTCCACACCCTGCTCCTCGAGGTGCGCATGCAGTGGCGGATCGATTCTCGCCACGAGAGCTGCCATGCGACGGACTTGTCTCTGTATGCCAGGTTGAGCAAAGATGTAATTATCCTGAATGCCATCGAGAAGCTTAGATAGACACCAAAACGTGTCCGCCTCCAGCGCTTCCAAAGCAGCTTCGGGCAGCATGGAAACGTCGTAGCTCTCCGGGTCACCGGCTGCGCGCAAAGAGAGAATGTAAGCGCGCCGGGAGCGCAAGAGCCCACCTTTGCCTCGCTACTCACAGATGTAAGCGCTCAAGAAAACCTCAAAGAAGGGAGTCGCCAGATCATTGATGCCTTGCACGTAACCGCTTGCTGGATGCCGAATGGCCCAAACGTAGAGGATCCTTTCGAGTGCCTGAATCGTGCAGGGGGAGCGTGCAGCGTGAGAGTCGTCCAAGCGCGCGCATGCAGAACCCTCCACTGACCCTCTGCGTCGCCTCTCGCTGCCAGAGGCTGATGCCCGGGTTCGTGCGCGGCACATCGATGCGGATCTGGTGCCAGATTGCCGTGTCCAGTCCCTGGGTGCCTCTTTGAAAAGCGAGCTTTGTTCCTTGAGCATACTCTGACCTCTTTCGAGCCAAGACGGATGCGCGGTGGGCTTTCGCTGGCGGTAAGTAGCCCTGTCACGATCGCGTCAGCTGAAAGATTGCATATCGCGGGCTCTTTCAGACTCACCAACAGGAGCTGCCATACCATGGGTCTCAGCTCCTCCGGCACGCCTTGCCATGCGAGCGCGCGCAGCTCATCTGCAATAGCAACAGGGTCAGCCAGCGTCCATGCCGATTAAAGTGCTGCCGGCGCTCAAAAGTGCTGCCTGCGCGCTCACCCATGGAAACCGTCTCGCTCGCCAAGCACCGCACGAAGCGCTCTCTTCGTCGTATTGTCCGATGGCTGTTTGCTCTAGCAAGGCTCTGCTTCTCCTCGGACAGAGCAGCGTCCGCTTGAGCGTCTTCTTCCGCGCTCGGGAGATCCGTCTGGGAAGCTCCAAAGCCACCAGAAGCAAAGAGACCATCACCGCCCATACTGACCACGTCCACCTGCTGTCTTTTGCCAGAGGCTCCAGCAGCTGGTGATAATGCGGCAGACGCGAAACTTGGACCTGCCAGAGCCGTCTCTGGAAGTGTTGCGCTGCTTGCGGCCGCAAAGTTGGCTGGTCGCGCAGTGCTGGGCTGCGTCGCAAAGGACAAGGGCGGATGCTTGGCCCAGTCCAGAGAGAGTCCAGCCAGCAGCGCTGTCGGGTCTGCGCATGATCAAAGACACGACGCGCATCAGCTCCCGTGGCTGCCCACATTGTTTGCGCATCACTCACCCGTCGTGACATTCTCCACATCTCCTCGAAGACATTTCTGCATCTCTTCCCTCTCCTTTGCGTTGGCTCTCTTGCCTCTGCCGTGCGCGTGCGTACCTCCTGCTCCGCTACTGCTTGCCTCGCTGTCCCTCCTGTGCCGCGCTCTCTCCGGCGACAAATCTTGACCTCTTGAGACAGTGCCGTTGGCCGTAGCCGCGCTATGGATGGCAGCGGCTGCACTCGAGCCGACGTCTGTTGGGGGCGATCCTGCAAGACTCCGGTCGCCTGTCCGATCGATTGGCGAGTGAGAAGAGGATCTCGAGTCGAGACCATTGGTCGAACCAGTCCTGCTGCTCCGAGCTTCTGCCTCATCCACAGGTGAGCTTCTTTCCACTCGGGAAGGGTCCACCACGGTCCAGCTTCCCACGCTGCTTGGTTGAGCGCCCATTGATGTGGCTGCAGAAGCGTTCGAAGGTCGTCCATTTACGCTCCTGCCTGCCGACCGGAATGATCCCCTGCTTCCGGTGGGGATGGGGAAAGGGTGGGGTCTTGCGGGAGGTGCGTGTTTGCCTGTCGTGGGCCGCGTTGGGCTCGACGTACCTTCCTCTCCTCTATCGCGTTGTTGCTGCCCAATATCATCGACTCGAGGTTTGGGCCCGGCCGTTCTTGTCCCTCTGCCTCTCGCCTCTCTCGACACGAAATCTTCATCGTCCGAGTCTATTCCCCACGCATCATCTTCCCACGAGCCTCCGCCTCTCCCCTCTCGCCCTCGCGTTTCGGAGTAGGATCGACTGGAGACATTGCTGCTGCTGCTAGAAGTCAGCTTGGTCGGTAATCCTGGACGAGCGTTGGACATGGCTGAGGGCGCGACACAGTCCCAGCAGGGGCGTGTGAGCGTGAGCGTGTGTGCAAGTGCGCGTGCGTGCGAGCGTGTGTGCAAGTGTGTGCGTGCGAGCGTGCGTGTGTACGTGTGTGCTCGCGTGTCTGCGTACTGGGCCAGTCTCGATTGGGCAAAAGGTGTGCCAAGTGAGGAAGCGAGATGGAGCTCCAAAACCCATGGCTGGCAGATCAAGACTTCCATTCAGTGATTCACGATTCGCGACAATCCAGCTCGACGTCTCTGCTGCACTCACCACTCGCGACTCTGCACGCAGCCAGCGAACGAGTGCACAAGCCATTCACATTCTCGATCGTGGTTCACGATTGTGGAGCAGAGGTCACGTGCGTGCCTTCGCTGAGTCCGCGGAACCGCACGCATCAGCAATCACGAATCAAATCGTGAATGTGAATCTTGAACGTGGATCACAATAATCGTGAATTTACGGCCGTTAAGAAGGCGCGTTCAGCTGTGGGGTGCTGTCATGCCACTCAATACGCATGCTCCGACATCGCTCTCAGACACCACCACACGACGTCGTGAAGGGAGCATAATCATTGCTGGATCGTCATGCCTGCCCCGACAACATGGCACGCTGGCGAGCTGGCCGCACAAGAAGCGCGTGGTTACGAGGATTACATGATGGAAGGTCCAACGAGATCGATGATTGAAGGTCTTCCAGATCAAATGCGTCCCTTTTTGTCGCAGCTCAGCTTTCTGCCCGTCACCACGCTGGATGAGGATGGCAGACCTTGGGGTTCCATCCTTGCAGGCTCCAAAGGCCAGCTGGGATTCCTGAAGCCTTTGGATGACGTTGAGCAAGAGTTGCAGGGCTCTGTACGCGTCCATGCCTCGATGCCTCCTGGCACTCCCGCTTTGCGCGCGATCCGCAGAGCGACGGAGCAAAAGGCAAGCAGCTCGCAGGCTTTTGGCGATCAAGACGTCCTATGCTCCGCAGTGGGCGTCATGCTCGAGAACCGAAGGCGCAACAAATTCGAAGGCCGCATCGTGGATGTGCAGGCCGAGCATCACGCGAATGTGGAATGGACGTGGCAGATGAGCTCGACGTTGGGCAATTGTCCAAAGTGTGAGTAGTCGTCGCTGATGATGTGCGCGGCAGCAGCCTCACCGATATTCTCGTCCGTGAGCCGTCGTCGCTGATGATGTGCGCGGGAGTAGCCTGACCAACATTCTCGTCCGTGCAGACATCAACATTCGACGCATCGTCCCTTCCAGCACGAGACGAGCCGCCGCGCTCGTTGAAGAAGATACACACCCACAAATAGGCACACCCATGCCCACGACACTTTTAGAGTTGATCAGCGAAGCGGAAATGTGCTTCCTGCACACCAAGCATTCAGGCTCCGTCGGTGGGTGGAATCCCGATCCAGACCGCTTGGGCTGCAACATCCGCGGAGGACCTCGAGGCTTCTTGCGGTCTTACTTTGACGAGCAGAGAGGACGCACAGCGATCGTGCTGCCCGACTGGAGCGGCAACAGGATGATGCAATCGTACGGCAATGTCACGCACGACGGCCTCGCGAGCTTGTCCATTCCCGTGTGGGGCATATGCCTGAAACATGAAAGCCCGCCCACCGATGCGCTGTACCTGACTGGGCAAGCAGAGGTGTTGGCTGGAGAAGAGGTGCGCAAGCTGATTCGGGGCGTTGCGGGCGCTTTGAGGATTTGGGTGACCGGCTGGGTGTACATCAAGAACGCCTTGCCGCTCGCCGTGGACGCGAGGGAAGCGCATCAGCGATTGTCCCTAGAAAGTCCTTCACAAGCGCTGAATCACAAGGCGTTGTTGGACGCGTCGATGCTTTGGTCTCCCTACAACCCACCGGTCCGACTGCTCGCCAGCGAAAAGCCATCATCACGGATGGCAGACGATGCACCCCTCGCCACCCTCATCAAAGTTCGATTCGCTTCGGACGTTTTGGCTACCTTTACCTGGAGCATCGACAGCAAGCATGCCAGCACGTGGGCTGCAGGCCGTCACATCGTCCTGGACGCGCACGCAGCGTTGGATTCCAGAGTGACGCAGTATCAGCACATGTCGTTCAGCAAGGGCGGCGAAAAAGATCTGAACGATGACGGCGTCCGAAGCTGGACCATCACTGCTTGCAGGCCGGGGGCAGAGCAAGGCGCCACAGAGCTTGATGTCACACTTCGAAGGGTGCCTAGAGGAGGCGTGACTCCGGGATTGTTCCACCGCGGCAAGATTCTAAACTCTGACATTAGCGTGCAGTCTCCACCGCCGTTGCTGAAGCTGCCACTGATGGGTATTGAAGGCCAAGTCATACTGCCTCCAGCTAGCCAGACCGCGTCGGATCGTGCATCAACCCTCGTGCTCACCTATCTCGTCGCAGGCATAGGCTTTACTCCTCTTTTGGCCCACCTTTCACACCTAAGATCGCCTATGGGGAATCGGCCCGCAGAGGTGCTGGTCGTTTTTGCGACTCGTGCAATCGAGGCTGCACCGCTACTCGACTTGCTCTATCGCACCTTGGCGCATCCCACCAGCGCAGTTGCCCTCAGTCACCCTCTTGTGGTCACTGTGCACCTCCTATTGGCTTTCGCAGAGGGCGAGGAGCGCAAGTTGGACCTGCCCGAACCTCCTACAGCCGAGAGGCTCTCTCTGCATCTCCATCTTTACGCTTCTGCGCGACTGACAGCTACCTCTCTGCAGCATCCGGCCATCCCCATCGCAAAGACCGACGCACAACGACACCGTCCCTTTGTGCTCCCGCTCGACGATGTCGAGAAAGTCAAGCAGAGCGACGCCATCGTCGTCTGTGGCGCTCCTCGATTCGACAGCGTGGCCAAGCTCGCTCTCACCAAGGCGGGAGTCGAAGCGGGGTCGATCAAATCTGAAAGCTTTGCATTTTGATCAGCGATGCGGCGAGCCCCACGTCGCCTCTCTCCATACCGTCTCGCGCAGATTTGTAACGTGTATGCAATGGCATTATTCTTCAGAGCTCGGCGTGCGCTCATCAGGCGCGCCGGTAGAAGCTGATGTGGGTGGGGTAAATGAGCTATCGCGAGGCGCGTCGCGGTGCGGTGCGGTGCGGTGCGGCGCGAATGTGGTCAGCAGCTAGCAGCGTAGAGACGTTCACCCGGCTCACCTCAATGTCGTGATCCCAAGGCAAGAGGAATTGTTGGGCCTCCCCCGAGCTGACGGATCCAACATCCTTGCCGAGCTTCTTGGCTGCATCGGCTTTTGCCTGCTCCAGCCTAGCTTCCTCCATCCAGGCCTCCACCAAAGCCTCGGCCTCGTCGGGCCTTTCCGCCCTGAGCTTGACATACCCACTGGAGCTCTTGAACATGTCTACGATTTGCCTCAGCTTTCCCTTCTTGCGCAAGAGGGTCGGCAGACCGCTCTTTTGAATCTCAGAGTCGGACTTGAGCAGGTGCAGAGCGGAAAAGTATGGTGAGAGGGTAGAGGTGACCCAGGACGGAGCTGCAGATGGAGGCTCGGTCGATGTGAAGATGGATGGGTCTATGTCTTGCTTGAGGCTAAAGGTCTGCGATTCATCCCAGGCCGGTGCCCGAGGAGGGGGAATCATGTCGTAGCAGCTCCTTACAATCTGCACGGGCGCTTGGGGATTGTCCTGGCAAGAATCAAAAGACGTCAAAAATCGTGTGAGGGCCTTGCAAGGAGAGTTATCATCGCACGCACCAGCTCGTAGTATTTGCCCAGCCTGTCTGGATGCTGAGATAGCGACTCGACGCAGTACTTGTTGAATACTTCCAATCCCGCTGCTGCTGCCACCATGTAGCCGCTGGGGAGAAGCGAGGCATGGCAGGGTAAGCAGGGGCCTGCTCGCCAACATTTTCTCGTCTCGTGCGACTCACACAAAGACGACACTAGCACCAGGCCTCAGAACCCTCTCCAACTCACTCCACACTCTTTCACCATTCGGCTCCGCGAACCAGTCGAACCAATGAGCTACGGCGGCTCCCACGACGAGATCCATGCTCTGATCCTCGACTCCCTTCAAGTCCTCCACCGACGCCGTCAAGAATTGCAGCGTGTGATCAGGGGGAACAGCTTGGCCTTTCATCGCTTCCAGATCCGTGCGGGGATCGATGGACTTGGCTTGAGCCAGCATGGAGCTGGATGGATCGCTAGCTATCACATGCTTGAAACGCAATGTCAGAGGGTAGGCTAGCAGACCTGGACCCGTTCCTAGGTCTAGTGCGCGTTCGAATCGTGCCGAGGACGGCGAGCGAGAGTGGAAGGCGTAGATGAGATCAAAGATGGGTTCGGGATACTGTGGTCGGGCTTTGAAGTAGGCTTGGGCATCGAAGCCTGATGCTGAAAAGGCCGCCATGTCTGCTGGCGTGTTGGTGTGCCGCTGGAGTGCGCATTCATCGCCGCACGATCGACATGACGACTTGTGTGCCTCTTTATATGGCCGCCTAAAGTTCCAACGGGGCAGGGTGTTGCCGTTGCCGGGCGGTGTTGCTTTGCTACGATCGAATGATGCGTCTATGCTCACACGCGGTAAGTGATGCGTCTTTGCATGCTCACACGCGGCGGTAAGCTGACGCCAAGGGTTCTGTGCATCGCAGCTAGACAGCACAGCAGATGCCGGCGGTACGCGCTTCCGTACAAAGAGCGGACGAAGCTAAATAAATAAATAATCGCGGGCCGTGAATATTAATACCGCCTCCGCACGCACACCTCGGACCCCGGAAATCTTCGGTCCAAGCCGCCGATAATCGAGGGAGCACGGACCGCATGAATGTGAATGTGAATGTTGGTCGATGGCCGCGCGTTGCAATTCACATTCGTGATTATATCGCATGAGTCGCGGGAAATGGTGAATCGAATGCTGATGTGAATGGTGAATGTGACTCTTTGAAACACGTGAATGCATGGATGGCTGGCTGA